CCGGAGGGCCCAGTGGGGGGAGGGCCGCAAAGGGAGCGGGGGGGGAGGAAGGGCACCCCCGCCTAGCCAGCCAGATCAGCCGAATCAACCCTGGCGATCAATGGGGTGACAGATGTCGCAGCCAGATCGCCCTCACATCCACTAAAGAGAGTATACCAGATTCTTATATACATAGCAAAATGCCATTATCCAATAGGTTAGGGTGGCGTTATTTGGCATGTCTTTTTATGCAGATTCTCACGCGTTGGCAAGAAGAAATCATGAACAAAACGATTATTATAATCTGTAAAATCTGTTTTATTCTCCCTAGTCAGGTTCCCAAGAAGCTTTGAGAAAAATGCAAATTAATCGTCTTAGCACCTCCTGGTGGCGCCTGATTCACGCCCCCCGCGCCCATCTGCGGAGGAGGAGGAGGAGGCGGCGGCGCTGTGCGGGCTCAGAAGGAGTCTGGCGAGAGCGGGTTCCTCCCGAAGGCTGCGCGGAAGCGAGGACGAGGCTCGGCGAGGTCGGGACTGTCTTTCCTTCCAAACTCCCAGGGGGATTTTGAAGGCTTGGGAAGGGACCGAGAGGTGCTATTCTTCTTAGAGAGGTACTTTGTTCAGTAGAGGAATAAATCACTATGACTAAAGGCTGGGTCGCTGATGGGGACCAGCGCCGCTGCTGCTTGCGGCTATTAACGTTTACTTGTCAGTGTGAGTTGCTTTGTTTGAATAAAGGTAATTTTGGAGGGGGGGCGGGACGGAGAGCTGTAAACGCAGAGCTAGCTGGGTGCTTCATCCTCTTAGGTGCCCTAACGCCGCCGAGGGTTACGGAATTAGATTTTGCAACCCGAAGCGAAGATGTGACCGATTGCGGGGTGTGCGTGTGTGTGTGAGAGTGAGAGAGTGTGAGGGGACGGACGTGGTACGAGGTGCCATCGGGACCATAAGCAGGGGTTTTAAAAACTTTTTCTTAGTGTCATCTTTTGGGTGAATTCTGCCCGATCCCACAGTTCTTTCTCAAGATTTAGGACCGATTCTCTGGGCAGAGAATGGATTCAAATGCAGCTGAACTTCGTTTTTGAAAGAGGAGAGTATAAGTATGCTGGGCTTTTTGTAAAAAAACAAAAACAAAAAAACCAGTGATGTATACTGGTTTTATCCACTCCCCAGAGCAAGCATGTCTGTGCTTTATAAGATACCCTTTTAATGAAGCAATGACCTCTCTTTGCACCTCCTCCATAGTTTACCATTCTGCTCCCCCTGACTGTACACATCATTTCAGATGAGGTTCATAAAAACCTTTAAGGGGCCCCCAGACTTTTTCTTCATGACATGCACATGTTTTCTCTCTCCTTGTAAGAATGGTCAAGATCTTATCCAGAGCTTTATAGAAATCATACTGGTTATTCTCAACTGTGCAGTCAAACTAGAGATGTTATATACAAAGTCATGTTTAGTTATTCCCAGCAGAACCTCCTAACAGAGCTTCAAATGCTACAAGCAATTCAATGCTTCTGTCTTTCTATTTTGGTATTTTCATATTTCTCAAGAAGCCTGCATATTTCTACACCAAGAGAGCCAACTCTAAAAATAAATGCTATCTCATCAGTTAGTTCTCCATTGCCATCTCACTTGCCCATGAAGATAACTTGATGACATGAAGAGAAAAGCAAATATTAGCAGTGCCAGTGACTTCAGACCTCCTACTCAGATCTTCCTTTGTGCTTATGAGTCTTCATGTATCTGATCTTTATCTTTGGTTTCCCATCCCTTCAGCTCAGGGATGGGAATTTAAGGACTTTGTCTCACCCAGCCCTAGTGCTCCCATTTCCACCCTTAAAACAACCTCCCAAATCAAGAGAAAATGGTACTTTCAAAAATGAGTCATTTTTCAGAAGCCTGATCTTAAGACCATTTTCTAAACTCCCAGTGGGTCTTAAGTGGTCACAGACCACTGACTACTACCCTAAAGATTCTGCTGTTTTGCTACCTCATTGTCGTAGTTCCTCAGGAATTATGTAACTGGATTCATTCATTCATTCATTCATTCATTCATTCATTCATTCATTCATTCACTCACTGTATATAGCTGTCCATCTCACATATGTGACTCTAGACAGCTCACACAACTGAAAATAAAAAAGGAATAAAGAGTTACAAATAAACAATTAAAACAAAAACCATTAGAAAAAAAAATTAAAACAGTTAAAACTAAATTTGCAGGGTAGTACAATCCATGCAATGACTAACAATACAATCGGCTAGCAGGCTCCATACCACCACTGGATCCCCAGGCCTGATGACAAAACCATGTTTTCAGAGTCTTCCAAAAGGCCAGCAGGTCAGGGCCTGCAGCAGAAAAGATTTTCCTCCTGGGTCCCATCAGATGACATTCCTTGGTAGACGGGACTCGTAACATGCCTCTCCTGCCGACCCTGATGGGATGAGTAGTTGTAACTGGGGAGAGAGAGTCCCTCAGGTAACTTGGCCCCATGCTTTATAGCTTTAGCTATAGGGCTTTATAGGTCCTTACCAGAATCTTGAATTGAGCCCAGAAGCAAATTGGCAACTAATGCAGTTCGTAGAACAGAGGTGTGATATGCGTTAATCGAGGAGCGCACATAATTGCTGCATTTTGCACCAGATGTAGCTTCCAGATGCTCTTCAAGGGCAGCCCTGTGTACAACATGTTACAGTAATCCATTATGGAGGTGACCAGGGCATGAGTGACTGAGAATACAGGCTCCCAATCCAGGAAAGGTGCAACTGGCCCACACCCTGAAGTTGTGCAAAGCCCCTCCTAGTCACAATTGCTACCTGCTCCTCAGGCAGGAGTTGCGAGTCCAGAAGGACCCCCAGATTGTGCACCGGGTCTGTTTGGGGCAGTGCAACCCCATCCAGCACCAAAGATGGTAAGTTCCCAGAATCTGAAGGCCCCCAATCCCAAAGCCACTCAGTCTTGCCAGGGTTGAGCTGAAGCCTGTTGCTCCCCATCCAAACCTCAGCAGCCTCCAAACACCAGGACAGGCCATCAGTAGCATCACTTAGTTCACCAGGGGTAGAGGTATACAACTGGGTATCATCAGCATACTCACACAGTGGTTTCATGTAGATGTTAAACAGGAGCGGAGAGAGTACCGAGAGTACCCCCAGCACCCCACAGAGTAGGGGCTCAGAGTGGGAGCTCTCATTCCTGATCAATGCTGACTGGAACTGGCCCTGGAGGAAGGAAGAGAACTAGCACAATACAGTGAAAATACAAGAAGGATACCATGGTTGATGATATCAAAGACCGTCAAGAAGTGCAAGGATGGATGCAGTATTCCCATCCTGCTCTCACCAGAGGTCATCCAAAAGTACAACCAGTGCTGTTTCAGTCCCAGGTCTGAAACCTGACTGAAAGGGGTCCAGATAATCTGCTTCCTCCAGGACCTTCTGAAGCCACTGCACAACCACCTTCTCAATAACCTTCCCTAAAAAGGAAAGGTTGGATACTGGATGAAAACTGTCCAGTATGCCTGGATCCAGTGATGGCTTCTTGAGGACACAAAAAGGGTGGAGAAATACTGATGTTTAAGGTAGGCCTTAATAGTGGCTCTAACACACGTTCAGTTAGGTTCACTCCTTACTGATCTCCAGCAGTGCTCTAGGCATCTCTTAACCCACTTCATTTCCCTCAACTCCTCCATAAACCATGGGGCATGGCAGGATCTGTGGGAAAGGAGAGGCTGCATGGGCGCGATCTGATCCAAGGTCTCTGCCACCCTCTCATTCCAGGCAGCAACCAGGGCCTCAGTGGGACCCTGCAGCAGACCATCAAGAATAACCTCTGGTTCCCTCTGGAACCCATTAGGGTCCATCCGTCGCCAAGGCTGGACCAATCAAATCGGTCCCACCTCCATGCTGTGCAGGGCAGCACCAGAGAATCTCATGGTTACTAGAGAGTGATCAGACCATGTCGGGAGCCACAGAGAGCTCCCCCAATTGTGGATCATGTTTTCATTGCTCCAGAAAGAAAACCAGATCAGACATGCAGCCTCAGAGCCATCCCTAGAGAAGGTAAAAGGACCATAAGCTTGAGAAACTCTACTGCCAACCCAGAATGGAGTCAGGCAGGGAGGTTGCTATACACCAGTAACAATCCCAATTGATCGTTAGAGCTCAACTTAATGAATAAGTCTCACATCCAGTAACTTGTGGGGCAGCAGCCCTGAAAACCATTAGAGACTCCTGGAGACAACTGCCACACTCCCACCCCTCCCCTGGAGTCTTCATTGAAGTCACACCCAAAACACAGTCGGGTATATTTCTAGAGTGGGACATCCCTTCCTGATCTAGTCAGGTCTCAGTAATACATGCCAGGTCAGCCCTCTCATCCATTATTACAGACTGACCTGGCATTTAGCAGCAGCAACCAAAGGCCAGGGGCACTGAACATCTGCTGACCAGGAAATGGGACTGAGCACAGGGGGATGGAATGCAGGACTGGAGTAAGGCACCAGGGCCACGGTACCTGGGAGCGGCCTGCCCCGTCTCCCACCATACCTCTCCATACCTGTCACCACTGAGATGTTCTGGCTTGCTACAACCCCCCTCTCCTCCTGAGGACCAGCCTTAAACCAGAGCATTCTTATCAGTTCCCAAGACAGCCCCCAACCCATCACAGTCTATAACCCACACACCAAGGAAGGGTAACTGGGTTCCCGGGCACTTCAGCTCATGCTCTCAGCACCCCAAGAACCCCAGAAACCACCTCCCACTCCAATCCAACTGATTCACACAGCACTTCCACCAGCTGCTCTCACCAGGCTGCTCAGGTGCCCACCTCCCATAAATCAAAGATGACCCTACTACTTCCCCCCACAACTGGCTTTCACTCAGAGAGAGAATAGCCAGCCCTTTACAAAGAAAGATCTCGCACACACATACACACCCTGCTTACAACACTCTCAACATTCACAACTGCCTGGTTGATGAAGTCCATAGGGACAGCATCAAGCAGACCACAAAATGGTTGTCATGCTGTCCTTTTCCGGAACAGTAGGGACAGGTGGACTAGATGGCCACTTGGCCCCTGCAGAGGGATCCTCAGCAGTCTCAAGGCACAAACCCTCTACTGCCAGTAACCCTCTGCAGACTCATTGCCAAGGTCCCATTTCACCCACCCCCATAAGGGGATCAGGACAATCCTCCAGAGACTGGAAAGGTCCTTCCCTCCAAGGCGGCGCAAAGGGCTGCATTGCCTCCAGTCCTCAGTTTCGCTAGCAGGCGTCACGCTGCCCGCACTGCCAGGCAGCCACTTTCCAAGCCATTTGGAAAAGTGTCTTCAGACTCAGGCTGTTTTAGATTTCAAAACTGCTGCTGGCTTTCTTGGCAAATCCTAGGCAAGGATTTTGTAGGAGGAGAGCCATGTTCATCTACAATGGCAAAAAATCAGGAGGATTATGGTAGCACCTTTTCCAAGTATTACATTTTATTAAAAAGCATAAGCTTTCATTTGAAGCGCTTTTTATCCCTTCTTTGGATATATATTTACATAACCCAGATTTATCATGGGAATGTTGTTAAAGTCTTAATTCTTGGAGAAATGTATCAAAATCATGTCAAATTGAATTTACTTCTAGACAAGTGCCGTCTACAATAATACATTGATGATTAAGAATTGTTCATTGGCATTGAAAACTCACTTTGTCAATGAAATAATCTTTTTCATCCATAAAAAGGGGGAAAGGGGAGATTTTATTTTATATTTTATTTGTGATATCTTGATTTTTTTTAATGTAACACTAGCGAAGAATGCATATGTTAAGCAACTTCCTCCAATGTGGTACAGAATACTGTTACTATTCTCTAACTTTCTTCTGTTCTCTCCTCCTACCCCATTCCATTTCAGCATGAACTTGTAAAATAGGAAAATCAGTTGAGTATTTCAGTGGTTGATTAGTCTTGACCCATATCCCCAGATCATCAGTGTATGATTATAAGCTGTTGTTCAGGTTATGTGTGTGTTCTTCTATTTCATATATGTATCTTAACTAATAAGTACTTATTCTCCCAAACATTGGCCCTTACTATCTTTTCAGAAGTTTTCCCTCCATTCATTAAGAGAGAGAGTTGTTTTCTAAATTGTGGACCACGTTTCTGTGCCAACATATTTTTTTCCCAGGATTCCTTCCACTGAAGACCAGAGAAACTAATAATTCTGCTTCCAAGAATGGAATGAGTGCAACTTGAATATTGCTTGCCATGTAACTACAGAGTGGAGTTGCTTTTCTTGTTCAGGGAGAAGAAGTTTGAAGATAAAATGTCAATTGCAGAACTGTCAGATCATATTCCAAAAGACAGAGAGAGGCCCAAACAGAGTGAATGTAATGTCATTGTTATATTTTTCCCCCACCCACCACAACTGCATTTTAAAGTGGGTAAAACTATGCATACGTTGGTCTGAGATTAGACTGAAACCTAATTTAGAGATTGCTATGTGGCATTGGAGCTTGCTAATTGCTGTATCCTGTGTTATTTCCTTATTTTACTTTTTTGAAGTGCTTAATTCTTTTTTTTTTAGTTCTCAAGTAACAGAGAAATCAACTTCTTTTTGTTCTTTCATGAACTTGCTCTCGTGACTTTTTCTCTGTCTGGGCATCAACTATGCCATGTATTGAAACAACTAGAAATCAAAGCCCGTTAGGTCCCACAATAACCTTATACCCTAAAGCATATTGTCTTCCATGTGACTTCTCCATGGTATACCCTGGTCCTCAGTCGTCACTTCATGTGAGGGCTGAGAAAAGGCGTCAACCTGATACTACAATTCAGTTGATCTTGTAGCTGGTAATAAAAAAAAATGACAATAATGTGAAGCTATAAATTTAAATCATACCCTTATGTCAGGTTAAAAAAGATTGACAACACTCCTCTTCTTAACCTCCAGCTTTTGGGGGAGACTATTAAGGAATAGGGTGTTCTGTGGAAAAGCCACACAACTGACAATTGCTTCAAATACAGAAGCTTTTCTGTGAGGTTCACTTTTGGCTGTATTTCTTTCTTAGAAATAGGGGGTAGCTAAGACCCACACAAAAAAAGTCATTAGCTAAATTCATAAGAGAGCAGAAGCAGTTTTTACTTCTTTTTAAATGAAAATGTGACAATAAGAATCATAAGCACCTCAAGAAAGTAGATAATGAAAAAACGCATAATATAGCTAGTAGTAAGCCTTGATACTACATACCAGTTAATAAATTCTAAATTAATTCCACACCCATAAAAGAATAATGATCCATGTTAGAGCGTAGCTGGAGGAGTGGTGTCATAGATATTACATACTCTCCTCCCTTGTGTCTCCCCTTCCCTCTTCCTTACACTTGTTTCAAAGGGAGTTTCTGCTCTCCCTGAAAGTTCTGCAAGCGAAAATAACTAGGGGAGGCAACTTTGAAGTGTATTCCTGGAAGAGGCACTTGAACTCCTTGCTAGGCTTTCCAAGTTAAGTTCACACACCCTTGGGACATTTCCCTGGGTTGTTATCTGAGCATATTGCTGCTAGACTTCATAGTCAGTGGGCTGTGTTTGCACACCTTCCTTATCAGACAGCTCCAGAGGAGTGAGTCTGCTTTCCATAAAAACCAGTCACTCAACCTCGATGGTGCTTTAGAAAATGGCTGAGGAGTTGTCTTCCTGTGACATTTATGCTATGCTGAATAGATTGACTGTATTGTCAAGTTTAAATAATTTGGTCATGTTTCAAGATAGGATGGGTGATGGACATTGCTGTTGTGGATCACAGGTACCTCTTATGCCATTCCCCTTCCTGAGTCATTTCTAGTCATTCTGGATGCAGAAAGACAGGGAATCTCAAGGATTTTCAAGAGTGCAGCTGAACATGCCAGGATACATGCCCGTCTTCAACCTCATTGTAACTGTAGGGTTTTTGTGTTGAGCCTCTGACTTGCATGCATGTAAAAAGCCTTTGTTTGCATCGATTAAGTATCACAGCACACTTGAAGAACATACATTTTGCACACAACATATCAGAAGTTCAGTTTCCTGTGCTCAGTTTAAAAAAGGCTATCAAAAGCTTTGTATTTCACCCTGTGGAAAATCAAGTCCTGCCAAAAGAGATAGCTCTGAGATGGGTCAGCTATGTATCCAAATCAGGACAATTGTAGTTGGTTTAAACAAAGTGGCCTGGTTCACACAGAATATTATGTCATGAGGTTGACAACAATGGCCTGGATCAAGTGAGGAATAAGTTATCTAGACATCACCTCTGAGTTAGCAGTTGATTTATAGGGACCCAAGTCTACATTAGTATAATGTTGCTCAAACTACTATTGTCTAGCAGATTTCTCTGAATATGGCAACATGTAAAATGTTTTGTATGCTAGCATTGTGGTTAAGTAGGTAAGAATGCACAGTACTTACTGAACCTTGATGCATTCTGTCAAACCACAGACTTTCCTGTTCTGGGGATCATTCCCTCCTCCTGGATAAACAATACCAAGAGGATGTTAAGTAGCATCAGTATATCTATTAATAAAATTGAATTTTGGATGTGTATCTGATGAAATATCTTGCTTTGATCAATTAGCCTTGCTCTGACCTGCCTTTCCTGTCCTCTTGCAACAGAATTATCGCTTCATTACTTTTTGTTATTTGTTCTGTTCCCTCCTTGCTCCCCCATCCCAGGAGATCAAGAAATCATGGCCGAGAAGCCTAAACTGTATTACTTTAATGGACGAGGCCGAATGGAACAGATACGATGGTTATTAGCAGCTGCTGGCGTGGAGGTCTGTGTTTCCTCGTTTGCAGACAAAGAAGGCTGTGTTGTCTGTTGAAATATTTTTGCCACTTTTCTCTCTGAAAGAATTATCTTTCTGAATTTGAAAAAAACAGAGCAGTTTCCAGGAAAGATCTACATTATGTATTGGCAATGTTTTAGTGCAGCCCCATATCCTGTTCTTCTCTTCAGGAAGCCTAAACACATTAGACACAGGCTCCTAGTAACCCTGCTTCTATTTCTTTCTCTGTACTTTTTCTTCTTTTGCCAAATTTTAGAGTGGAAACTCTTTGTAATGGGAATTGCATGGATTTTGGAAAAGGTAGTGCTTGTTAAGAATCCAAGCAGCCATATTGCAGGTTCTCTGGATGCATACCAGCTCGCTCTCCCATGCTTTCCCAGAATCCCCAGTTCCAAGTTAGGGATGGGCAACCTGTGAACCCCACGCAACCTGCAGAATACCCTGGAGTGAGAAGAACTAACATTTTGGCCTTGAGGAACAAAGTGCAATGCTTAAAGGACCTAATTTGCTCTGTGAAACCCTCTCCACCTTGACTCTCACTCTCAAATGGACTGAACCTTCAGAATGTTGTGTTTCATATCCAAAGGTCTAGTTTGGAGAGGAGAAAAGCCAGCAAGACTATAAGAGGTGGTCCAGGTACATATTATCTCAGCACCCTATGTATTTTGTGCCCTTATGTATTCAGGATGACTAGCCTGATAGGGTTTACGTACAGAGAGGAGTGCTATCAGAATTCCTTCAGTGTTAAGATAGCTGTATTATGGTTTCTGATGAGTACAGGTAGTCCTCATTGAATGACCACTCATTCAGCAGTGGTTCAAAGTTACAACAGTGCTGAATGTGGAGGACTTAGGATGGGTCCTCAAGGTTCCAGCCATTGCAGAGTCACCGCAATCACATGATTGCGATTCAGGTGTTTTGCAACTAGCTTGCAATTATGACAGTCACAGCATCCCGCAATCATGTGTTCACCATTTGCAACCTTCATTGCCGGCTTCCATGAAAGTCAGTGGGGAAGCTGGCAGGAGGTCACAAACGGTGATCACATGACCGAGGAACACTACGACCTCGTGGGATTGGCCTAATGCCGGCAACTGGGACTGCCGCAACTGCTGTCGTAAGTCAATACACTCATGTGGCATCATACTTTACAGTCTTGTCACTTAGCAATGGAGTTGCTGATCCCAATTACCGTTGTTAAGTGAGGATTACCCGTAACTGCTTTTTCCTGCCTTTTCTATGAGTCTTTACCCACTGCTGAGTTGAAGTACAATCCACACATCCTTGACTTGACAGAAAGCTACTGTATAGCAACATGAAACTTGCCCATCCTTGCCTGGCCTTTATTACCTGTTCCAAAGTCAGTTCAATCATCTGCTTTCCCTCCAAGGTAATAAATCTGAAAGCCTGACAGATTTTGTAACCTGTCCGTGGAGAGTGTGAAGATTAGGGGAAAAAACACTGCAGCTACATACAGCTAAGGGAGACATAAGCAAGCCTCACTCATGGGTGTGATGGGATGAAGGTAACATTGTGGAGTTGCGGCGGGGGGGGGGAGGTGTTACAAGGGCATGTTTGTGCCGCAAGTGGAGAAAGACGGAAAATCATGATTTGAAGTTCTAGTCCTGGGGGGATGGATGGCAAAGCTCAACATTTAAACCAAGATTTATAACACTATGGAGCACTGCTGTAGAGAGTAAGAGGGTAGCTCAGACATCTCCAGGCTTTGGGAGGGGGGCAAGAACATGCGGTGAGTACATTTGCAATATCGCTGCTGAGGAGCATTTGCTGATTGCCAAAATGACAGCCAAAGGGACATATACGTCTGATACTATGTGCTGCTTGCCTTGTTTTTCTCTCTGCCAATATGTGCCTAAATAGCTGGCATAGTTAATGATTCTAACTATATTTCTGCTGGATCCCAATGCTTTCGGTTCTTCTTCTCTCATAGTCCTGCATGAGTGGCTTCTAAAGCTCAAGTGATATTTCCTTGCCCCAGTTTTTTGAAGTTTCAAGTTGATGCCTTAAAGCACTAGAAAGATTTTGTAAAGCCCCCAATATATCAGGATTTTCTTGAAGGTTTGTGAGCTGTGCAGAAGACGTGTGGGTAGAGTGAAATGAGACACGCTATGTGCAATCTTAGTTCCATTATTCAGTAACATGCTTAACAATAGCCACTTTGAGGGCCCTATAAGAGGTTGAAAAGTAGGATATGGTTTTTAAACAACACAGTAAGTGATTTACAAAATTAGTAACAGAACTGCCTTCTTTTTGTCCTATAATGCATATATTTTACTACTGTATCTTCTTCCAGCTAGTGGTGTGGATTTGGCTTGCAGATTGCTAATCCAAAAAACTGAATATCAGAACTCTTAGTTGGAGAGGAAAGAGTCAAATTTCAAGGCCTATATGAAGCTTTATTTGTTTCCTTACTTCTTTCATCTAGTCTTGTGTATTTCAAGTATGATTCAGATAAAATTTTGCTTCCTAAAAAAAACTGCTTACTAAAACTCTTCAGAAGTGAGGAAATCTGACTCAGTACAAATATACAAGCCTCAATAAAAGATTATTCAGTTCTGTTCTGAAGTACTTGCTGTTCAGATATGGTTATTTTGAGGCAAAAGTTCAATGATCCTTCTCTCTGGATTGCATTCAATTATGATTTGGGTTCTAGAATACTGAAAACAGTTCCCTGTGCCCCTTTTTTTCTATCTTTTAGTTTGAAGAGGAATTTTTGGAGACAAGAGAGCAATATGAGAATCTGCTTCAAGGTTAAGTGTGTGATGAAACTGCAAATATTCAGCTGTACCCGTGAATCTCTACTTGGGCAGGAACAAACAGAAGCTGTAATTCTTGAGTGATGAAGAAGAGCTATGGCCTTGTAGTTGATGAAGGATGTGCAAGAAAAACGGTTACATTGTAACTCAGGCATAATCCATCATGACACAGTGCAAGGCTGGGAAGTTGTGGCCTTCTAAGCTAGGGATTGACCAACTTTTTCAGGCCAAAAAACCCGTTAGTTAAAAGAAAATCCCTGATTAAGAGGAAAAACTCTGGTGATGGAAAATTGGCTCCATCTGAGTGAACCTTTTTTGGTCCTTAGTCTCTCACAGAACCCCTTCAGGTTCTGATGGAATGCAGGGCTTCCGTAGAACATGGCTTGAACAACCCTTTTCTAAACATTACTAGTTTATGAGTCCCAGCAGCCCAAGCCAGCCTGGCTAGTGGTGAGTGCTGGGAGCAATAACTCAACATCTGGAAGGCCACAGATTCCCTGCCCTTGAGACTTTAAATTATCCTACATTTGTTGAGATGGAGAGATCAGCTTCTTCACATCACATCTATGTTTCTTAGATTTATTAAGTTACCATGTCAAGCTTCCATCTATGCATGTTAAGAATCTGCAAGTTTCTATATTTAAAATAACTACAACTTTTACTTGCTGATGGATTTTCTTGCAGTGACTAAATGTGTAGCTGCCCCATCTTTGGAATGCAATTCTGGCTCAGTGGCTTGGCTTAACTTGTTCACTTTACCAAAATTCACCTTTTAAAATAGGGTTTTAAGTCTTGATTTTAATTGTCTTTTTCTTTTTCTTTTGTCTTTTAAATACCTCTGATTTTAATTCTGGTTTTATGTTTTATTGTAATCCAGTGAGAGAATTGCAACACAGATGGAACATTATGTTGTATTCTTTGTAGCCTTGAATGCTACACATACTGCCTTATTTGGACATTTTTTACTGAATGTTACTAAATGTTCATTTTTCAAACTGTTTCTTGCAATTCTGGTTTGATGACCAGTATGACATAGGACAAACCTATTTATTAAACTAAGCTTATGCTAAATAACACATTGAATGAGGCTGTAGGAGAACATAAGCCTATGGTGCATGCATTTCCACATTTTTAAATTGCAAGCAGAATGGGGAAAGAACCCTGCTTGAAAAATGAAGGAACAAATATCCCATGTATGTGTTTCAGAAATCACTTGGTTTCACAATGGAAATATACAGGTGCATTTTTGTCCTGTAACTTTATAAATAGGGAACTTTATAAAAAAGGGCAGCTTGTTCTCTTGAAAAGTTCCTTAAATCAGCTGTGTAAGGTTCCTGAAGGTAATACTGATAGACGGCTGTAAGCTTCAGAGATAGTCTTTTTTGTCTAAACAAAAAGCTAATGGGGGGAGGGAGTGTTTCATGCAGTGCACTGACTAATGATACTGTTTGTTGTATGAAAGCCATTGTGGCTTGTAAATCAGGTTTTATGGCTCAGCATATTGGGTGAAACCACCCATATTGCTTTATTAAGCATAATGAGATCTTGATATATTGTGTAGATCTAATAACAGAACAGCAAACTCCACACAGTTTGGGTGAACAACTTCTTTCTATTGATATTCTAGTAATAATCCAGAACAAGAATAGAATAACCTTGGATTCTCTGGGCTTCTAGTTGTAGAGTTGTATGTGCTTTCTAGGCAGAATGTTTGACATTTGTTGTGTTCTTCTCTCCAAAGATGGCTCCCTCCTGTTTCAGCAAACGCCCATGGTGGAAATTGACGGGATGAAGTTGGTGCAGACACGAGCCATCCTCCGTTACATTGCCACGAAGTACAACTTGTATGGGAAGGACCTGAAGGAGAGAGCATTGTACTGTCCTCACTATATTTAGCTTGCTTGAAATTACAGCCGGAGCCCTGCCTATTGTTCCTGCCTTTGATTCAGTCACATAAGAGCATTCCTCTCACTGAAAGAAATTGTGGCCCGCTCCTCTAAATGCCCTGTGGGCTAGTCCACTGGGTTAAACCATAAGGCTTGTTTAGCAAACATTGTTTAGTTCCCCTTGCAAGCCAATGCAGCTAACAAGCCACCTGTGATTTCGTCAGCCAGGTTTACTCGTGTTTGTTTGTTTGTTTTCCCCCAATTCCTTCTGGGTTGATGAAGCTGAAGTTCCCCGTTAGCACAGCATGTAGGTGGACCCATTGGGCAGAACCATGTGAGTTTGCCACTAAACCAACTTTATGGCTTAACACAATGTGCAGGTGCAGCTTCTCACATTGACTTGCAAGTTGTGGGTAGGTCAACCATTCTGGAAAAGGGTTGTGCATCAGAGTACTTCCTTGCTTACTCGAAAAGAAAATTTAGCAGTGCTGGTTCTTGAAAAGCAATTTTTCTTGTGTGTGTCTTTAGTTATTTGTATTGGAGAAACTGAAGTGGTATGAGTGCTATGCATAGCTACTAGAGTCATCTGCTATGCATTTGCCACTGGACACCTGGTACCCTAGGAGGTATAAGCTTCCAGCAGCTGCAGGCCAAGTTTAGCTGCTTTAGTAGAAATCAGTTATGACCAGCAAAACTGCCTAGTTAAATTCCTGGGAAAATTGTCCACACGTAGGTGTTTAAAAAGATATAGTTTTAGGATATTCTTTTTTTTTTAACCAAAGTATGCCTGTTTTAGGATTTTACTGCAATTATTGTGTGTTTCCCACTTCAGCATGGTGACCAACTGTGTGATCCTGTTTAGAGGGGATTCTGAAGCCTGTAAAACGGGGACTCAGGACTGGAAGTCACTCACACCTGACAGATCATAAGAACTGATATGTGGTATTCTGTCTTCTTAGAATTGACATGTATGTGGAAGGAACAATAGACCTGTCTCTCTTTATTTTGCCATTCCCTTTCTTGTCACCAGAGGATAAAGAGCGCCAACTTGCTACAATCAAAGACAAAGCAACAAAAAGATATTTTCCAGTTTATGAAAAAGTAAGTGTTAATAAAGAAATTTCCTTAGGTCAAGGGTGCAACCTGGTGCTTTCCAGATGTTTTACGCTGCAGCTCCCACGATCTCTTGCCTGGCTGGAGGTGTTGGAAGGAATTAAAACATCTGGAAGGCATCATGTTCTTCACCTCTTCTTTACAGCAGGGATGCACGGTATTTTTTGTTCTGAAGGCTGGACCTCGTCTTGAGAGGTGTGCTGAGGCCTGCACTCTGAAATAACACTATATCCCTGCTTTACATAATAAAAGGGTGTGCATCTTTAAGGCTTACCATGAATTAGACAAATATGTATTTAGAAAGGTATTTGTCTCCCAGGATTCTTTGTTACACCTGTACACCTTTACTTGCTAAACTCTAGGAAATTCTAAATTAAGAATGCTGTCGACTACCCCATTCTGTGGGAGGTAACTGCTATCCTAATTACTAATTTTTATTTAAATATACATATCTTGAAAAAAGCTAGCTCTGGAGCTTGAGTTTGAAGACTGCTGTTTCTTGGAAAGCTTTTCCATCTTGTTTAGCTTTGGGAATAACTGTTGCCAGATTCCTTGCCACATCACTTTCAGTGCCTTCTTCTAATATCTTTCTAAAGCTTTTTCTTTTCCTTGTAAACTGATCACGTCCCAACAAAATCCTGATCAGTAACTGGCAGAAAGTTTGAAATACATACGCATTGTTGCAAACTCAGGACACAGCTGTTCAAGTTTTACATCTAGCCCTGCAAATTAGGATTTGCAAGTCTACATATGTTCTGAGCAGTGATTTTATGAACTCAACCACTAATACTAAAGCAGCCTCCTCTTTGCTCATTGAGAAACTGTAATCCAAGGTAAGAGTAGGCAAAATGTTCTAAGCTCAACAATTTTGCATGCTCAAAGCACTCATGTTCCAGGAGTTTTTGTTTCAAGCTCAAGATAAAACATGTTGTTTCTGTTCCATTCTCAAAACAAAACCTGGCCATTTCAAGCCACATTGTTTCAAAATGTTCTGGATGCCTGAGTGTTATGATTGGTGTGTGGTTTTGAGGCTCATGCTGGGTTGCTTTTTTTACAACCTAACCACTATAGTAATAATTACATGCCTGTTGCTGTTGGATAAAGAAAAAAAACCTAAATATAGTGCTTAAATGAACTAAATTTAACCCCCCCCCCAAAAAAAACCCAACAAAAAAGGAAAGATCCATATGGTAAGTATAAATATCTATGTGGAATTACTTCAGTTGTTGAGCTTATCTATAATCTGGACCATATAGAAACGTATGGTGTCATCTCATTTTTAGAGAGCAGGTCTTTTCACAAATAGATGATAAATTCATATTCTGGATCCATTCTTTAAAATGAGGAGAGTGACCGTCTTTCTAGTTGCTACACCCCAAGCTTGACAGAGCCAAAGCTCTTCATAAGCTGACTAATTCCATACTTTAGGAATGTAAAGTATCACTGAGTATCACACTGAAATCCTTAAATATAGTATTTTCTTCCCAATACTTTGTTAACATATATATTAATTTGAAATCAAAACAAAGCTATAACAAACAAGACCAAATCATGTGGATTAAAGTCACCCTTCTGGGGGAGATAGGCGGCATACAAATTCAATTAATTAATTAATTAATTAAAGAACGTTCACATTTCTTACATCACCAACATATGAAGTCTAATGTCCATCCCTTTTTAAAAATGTAAACATTCTTTGAGGGGCCAATAAACTCAAAATAATATCTTTGGATGAATTAGATCCATTTTTAAATCATATGAAGTACATTTCACAGTTTATAATATCTGGACTCACTGATTTTTCAAAATTGGATATTCCAATTCTTCCTTCTACAAATCGAATACTAACTTTCATTTTATTCCTTAATACCTTACAAAATTGAATTTTAGTTTTTGGTCAAGTGCAGCATCCCCTGTAGAAGCTAAAATTACAGGTACTTTGGAAGGTGCTCAAGCATCTAGGCCATACTATTTAGTTAACACATGATTCAGTTGCATACATTGAAGGCAAATCAACCTTCAAGGACAATCTCTCAAAATGCTTAAAACAATCCTCAAAAATAAGCTGATTTATAGTACTGATCCCTTATTTAGCCTGAGCATTTCAATAAACGATTTCCCCCACTATTTTCAGATTTGAGTTATACCACATCAACTACTCATGTAATATATTATAGTGGACTTTTGTTACTGCTGGAACTTCACTAGTGAGTATTTGGCCACCATCCCACATTAGTAGACTTTGGGATCCTTTACTTTTAAGGGTAGAGTTAAATCACATTAAATCAAGGCTTGCCTTTAAAAATATTGTTTATCTTGGGGATTTTAAAAAATACTTGCAAATTTAATATTTGGTCAAGGTTATGGTTGGTTGGATGATAGGTAGCAGTCAGTACTACTGTCTGCTTTGATTGATAAAGAAGGGAATGACCCAGAGAAACCACAATCATATAGACCAATTTCCTTGCTGAATGTAGATTATAAGATTTTCACAACGATATTAGCTGACAGAGTGAAGAAATGTGTTTCAGATATTATACATAATGACCAAACTAGTTTTATCCCAAGGAGAAATATAAGGGACAGCAGTAGGTTTATAATCAATACAATAGAACATATAAATAAAAAAGGAAGAAAGCTGTACTAATTTTCTTGGATGTGGAAAAGCCTTTGACAATTTGCAGTGACAATTCCTGCTGGCAGTACTGAATAAAATGAACTTTGGTGTAGACTCTCATGCTTAGGCTGAATGACAAAAAGCAAAGATTATGGTTAATGGAGCACTCTCTGCAGTTTTCCAAATCAGTAAAGGAACAAGGCAAGGACGTCCACTTTCTCTTTTACTATTTCTCATTGCATTAGAAATTCTGGCAGAAAAAGTCCGATGCGATAAACAAATAACAGGTCTCAAAATTTGTGGAGAGGAATATAAACTTAAATGATGTATTAATTATCATAGAACCACAACAGGCGATAAAAGTTCATAAAAAAAATAACTATGGAGAATATTCTGGATATAAAATCAATGCTCAGAAAACAAAAATAATGACAAAATTCTTAACACAAGAAGAAATCATTTTTTTTTCCAAAAAGAATCTGGTTGTCAGATAGCCCATTCAGTGAAATATCTCAGTTTGCACCTGATAGGAAACAATCAAGAAATATATCAAAATAAGTAAAATTATGGCAAGAGATTAAAAGAGACCTTGAAAGTGAAGGAACCTAAAGTTATCTTGGTTAGGATCTATTGCAATTATCAAAATGATTGTGTTAGCCAGGGTAAACTATTTATTTCAAATGGCACCAATCAGAATTTCAGAGAGAATCTTACAAGAATGGCAAGAAACTGTCAGTAAGTTCATATGGAAGGGGAAAAACCTAGAGTGAAACAAAAAAATCCTACAAGATTCCAAAGAGAGAGGTGGCCTCGCCCTTCCAAATTTTAAACTGTATTATAAAGCAAGCTGCTTGTCACAGGTAACGGAGTGGACACGATCCCCGAATAGCAGAATGGCAATTTTGGAAGGAGCCAACTTAGTCAATGGACTTCATAGATGCTTATGGTACAGGGATACAAAGGAGGATAAAAACTTAAAAGAATGTATTATTAGACAAAGTTTGATAAAAGTATGGAATTCTACAAAGGGAGTAATAAGCCCAGCAATTTAACCTCTAGTTTCTCCCTCAAATGCTTTCTATGTTGGAGATTACAGCAAGAAAAATGTAATTATGTGTGCAGATATGAATACTCAGATTCTATGAATAGACGAAAAACACAGCAAGAACTACTTAGTGAAGGCAGTCATATACCATGACTGATGTATTTACAAATAGCTGGAAGGATAATGCACACACACACTAAGTAACAATACAGTGGAGACTTTAATATTAAATAATCAGTTTAAGATCAAAACCTTTATCAAAGAACAAAAACTTGATGTGAGCTGCAATGGTTCTTTTTTCAATGTTATACTCAACTTTGGATAAAAAAGCCAAATAATTTTATGCTTGTCATATTAACATCCTAAATTGTAATGAATATTGATACAATCCTTTTTTTTCTTTTCTCTATTTTCAGTATTCTATCTAAATAATAGAATATCAATAATCTTTAATTATATAAACATCACTGTATTGAAATAATGCAATATATCAAGATTTATAACAACATAGTAAAAAGGGGGGAAAGACATTATGGATATGCCATTATTTCTGAGTAATATATGGCAATGAAACCACGATTTCCACACTTGTGTTTTGCATACTAAACAAGGATCATCCATTTCTTACTTCAGACTTACTCATAGAAGGTCGGTCCACTGCAACCTTGGAAATCACTGTGCGGCTGCTCTTAAACTCGGGCTAAACTCTTATGTTTGCAGGTGCTGAAGGATCATGGACAAGACTTCCTTGTTGGCAATCAGTTCAGCTTGGCAGACGTACACCTCTTTGAAACTATCTTAATGGTAGAGGAAAAGTCTTCCACTATCCTGAATGAATTTCCTCAGTTGCAGGTATGGGGAAATAAATAAAGTGTTCATTTAAATTTAAAGCCTTCTCTCCCATCCATTTGAAAGAAGAAAATAAATGTGCTTCTCTATAAAATTTTGCATTACAGATGGGATGTTTAACTTGCTAAAGTCCTGAGAAATTATTATGTATGGTATATGACCACAAATAACATCAACAATAATCTCAACATAGCATCTTGCTTGACACCACAGCATGCTTCTTAAAATCTGACGATTCTTTTATCAATATTAAGTAAATTAATTTGGACTAGAATAAACTGGTTATTTAGGAGATGGTTATTTGTATTCAATCTTGGTTAAATTGCTCTGAACGCTGAAGTAGAAATGTTATATTCCTAGCCAGCTTGGGACATTTTCCCCCCATTCCTCTGAATGCTTTTGTATATTTAATTCATATCCTAAATATAAGATCCTGTTCACTGAAGTTGCACTGGCATAAAGGCCTTGATGCTTATACCATTCACTTACTTTACCCAAACCAGAGTAAATATATCTATTTATTCTAATTAAAGTTGTTTGGGCAAGTTACAAACTTACTTAATTGTTTAAAAAAATCTTAATTTAAAAAAAACACAAAGTAACTAAACAGAGTGCATTTAATTAGTAGCACAGGAGAAATATAAAACATATACAGTAACACCCAGTAGTATAAAACATCACAAAAATGCCTCAAAAAAGAATCTCCAACAGATCATATATATCATATATTAAGATCTGCCTCTCTAGAAAGCTATTCTATAAGCAGGACTCCAGAGCCAAAATGGGTCTTTAGCTGCCCACTTGAGGGCATTCAGAGATAGATAAATAGGCCAGAGAGGTACATAACAAAAAAGGGATTATTTGAGATATTTTAGCTTCATTTAGTAGTATGTGCCAGTTAAAAGTTCATTGACACAGGTATAACAAAGAACCGTTGTACTAACCTATCCCATAAGCTTTGAACAGCTAGTCAGAATTTTATCAAATGAATTAAAGGTTGGTATCATGTGCACAGAAAACTGCAGGGACTTATCCAGGCAGTCTTTGAGAATCAGACACAACTGAACGGATTAAAAAACAAAAATCACATGCATACATTGTGACTTGCGCCATAGAGTTCTGATTGTTTAATGCTAAAGTCCAGGTGATGAATGTGTACGTGTCTTCTTCTGCACCCCTGCTAGGCTTTTAAAACAAGGATCAGTCAGATTCCCACAATTAAGAAGTTTCTGGAACCAGGAAGCCAGAGGAAACCTGTCCCTGATGATAAATATGTGGAGACCGTGAGAAGAGTTCTCCAGATGTACCATCAGTTGAAGGCACATGCATGAAAGTCCATAAAGTTGTTCTGGTGATTTCACACAACTACAAGCGCTGATACGCCTAATACAAAACCCATCCTTTCACATTAGAGACAAGAGTACCATGTAACCTTTGCAAACTGGAGTATGGACTGTGAAAACAGGCTTCTTATATAGATGCTAGTGATAGCTGTAGCAAAGAAAGAGCATAATGAGGGGGATTTGAAAAAAGCATTTTTACTGATTAAGGTCAACATTCACCAAGAGAACAATATTTTAAAGAAGGGGTACTAAATTCCAGGCCACCTGTGACTTCTAATCTTTTTTCGGTGACTTGATAGCCTCCCTGAAATTATACTGTTGAGATTTAGTGACCAATTTCCAAAACTTGAGCTCACAAGTTTTGGTAGAAAACAAAATGTAGGTTGGACAAAAAAGTTAATTCTCCTAATAACTAAACCAAAGATACAATCCTCTTGAAGAAATTCTGCCCTACTGTTCGGCATAATGCCATGGCATTATTACCCAGGCCACTGCAGCCTTCAACTAACAACCCCCCCACCTTTTTTTTTTTTTTTTTGGTAAAATGTGGCCTGGCTACCAAAAATTGCCTGCTGATTTTAAAGAGTATTATGAATTGTTATCGCATTGTGTGAAGCAATATTTTTTTTTAGTAGTCCAATCAAATAAAGCTTAGCAAGAAATAGAAAGAACCATTTTCTATCTAGCAATGTATTTTTTCAACATAAGGTTTTTGTTGTAAAACCTTCTTTTTTCCTTCTGCTTTGTTTCTGTTGTATCAAACCATAGTGTAGTTCCTTGGTTTTGGTTCAGAGTGCTTTGCAAATTCAGCCATTGTGGCATATTCAACAAACCATGACTTAGCACAATGTTAAATATAACATAAGAAATAATGCTCAAATTAAATATGCTTAGGATTGAAACATTTATGTCCAGATTTCCATAGTATTTTATCAATCTCCTAAAATGCATATACATATGTCAGTATTATATTAAGTTTACATTTACTTTGTGATATTCATTAGTATAGTATCTACTTTTCTTGTATTGACCTGTTGCTACCATACTTTGGAAATTTTTTCTGTTCCTAGTAAATTGTTTTTCTTGCACAGAAAAATGTTTGTTTGCCTTATTGCCCACAAGAAACATTCGTTTCTGATTTTATCAGGTTCTTTTAACACAATTTTGAGCAGCAATCATAGCTAAAGCACATACAGAGATTTTTAAAATAGGACCAATTCATTCACTGAATTCTCTAAATGCAATTCACAGCTTTACCATTCAAGAATACCCACCTCAGGTGAATATTTTAGAGTCTAACCATAATGCATAGCATTTGCCAAGAGTATCACAATTCACAGGTTAAAATGTAGGATTCCTTTCCCACAACTTACCATTGTATCAAAGGAAGAATATACCTTTCAACTAAAAAAGGTAAGGGTAGTTTTGTTTCTAGTACATTCATAATTCAAAATACATTCTGACCCTGCATAGAGTTCCATATATAAATTAAATTAATGCTGGTGTGTTTTAGATATTTCAAAATTAAGTATTTTCAAAAGACGAGCATATTCTCATTAAGAGATAATTTGCATTTTAAGGCATAATTCTTTGGGCAATTATACAAATCTGAAACATTGTCTTTTCTTATGGATCAGTGCATAAAAACCAAGAATGAAAACCACTATACTCTGATGGTTTTATATAAATATATGGTGTTTTTTACATCACTTGTATACAATGCTTTCCACTACCCCTCAGAAGTACTGTAATCTGAAGAAGGTTCAGAAAAGGATGATTAAAGAGCTGGAGTAACTCCCCTATGAAGAAATGTGGTACTAGTTTTGAAATAAGTGTTGGGCTTGACAGATGTACATATAAAATTATTAATAGAATAAACATAGATTTTTCTTCTCACTCAGAATATTGGAAGTTGAAGTCACCTAGTGAAGCTGAATGATTGTATTGCTTGGTTCATATTTTGGAGACAGCTTTGTAAAGAGGAGGCTGCAAATTCCTCCATTATTAGTTCAAAAACAAAAACAAAACAAAAACCTTCTTATTTCACAAGAAAGTCATTAGAAAGAAACTAAGAAAGTCTCCACCCTAATGTGTGAAGAGTTAAACTGGTTCCCTATGAAAAGTGGTTCAGTTGCTAAAACGTTGGTACCCTTATTCCTTCCATCTCAAACTTTTTCAGGTCTTGTTGAGAATCCTATTCAAAGAAATATGTTCATCTTGAGGCAACTACCATAAGCTTGGCAGTGATGGGAAACTCAAAAGAAAGAAAATGGTTCTTCACACAGTGTTTAGTTAATACTGCTATAAAAAAAATGTAAACAGTTGTAGAGTGATCAAGAAAAATAAATGTTAGAAAATAATCAAGAACACATTTTTATAATAAGAGAACAAAGGATATTGCTAACATCTAGGTTTGTTCCAGATTACCATGTTTCTGCCTAGGGGGAATTGATTATTTGCTTCTATTATTGTGGAGATCCATACCCTTCCTTTAAAATAATCTATCATTCCAAGTGATTTTAATTTGGCACTGAAACTCAATGTTTTGTTACTGGGAAAATGTCTCTATCTAAATGGACTATAATGTGTTGTAACTGTAGACATCATAGTTGCCTTAAATTTTGAAGACACATTATTTCTCAGCCAAGCAATAGTGCCTAAGCTTGGAGTAGTTGTAGGAAATTCTGAGTCATTTTTAAAAAATTCCTTGAAACCTTATTTATTCCAAGGAAGTATCAGTAACCATTATTAGAATGCAAACTTACTAGGTTCGTCTGGGAGCCGGGAATAAACATGCAGGCGGTTGCTTGAAGGAGAGAGAAGGCTTTATTTCCGAGAGCCAGATACGCAAGATGATCAGCTGTCAGGGCCACCACATCAGGGCTTCCCAGGAATCTCCTTTTGAAATTGACTAGGGAGCAATTGACTAGGGAGCGGTCCAAGGTCAGGCACCCCACTGAGCTGGGGTTTCCTGTGTTTCCCTGATCTGGTATTGTCTAATTGGAATGTAGAGCTCCTTGGCAAGAAATCTTTTTATGATTCGATTTTTGGCTTTAAGGAATGTTGGCCCTTCCTGCCAGGTCTTTAGCTCTTTAGTTTTGGGCTAGGGTGGAGGACTCTTGATCCTTTCCGTTAGGTCTTAAATCATTTTAGGTGAGCCCATTCTTACTATAATTTAGCCATATGCTTTGATTGCTGTTTAAGATAGACAATGGTAGGGTGAGAAAAATGGGAAGCTTTGACTTCCTGCTGACATGGGGGGGGGGGGGGAGAGACTTTGATTTCCTTCTCACACCATGTTTAGATTCATGTCAAATCTCACATGAATGACTGCAATTCTTTCTGAATGACTCTTCCAGATACCACATTTTGCAATTGTGACTGCAACTAGTAATATTTTATCCAAGTTTCTTGTTTGGTTTATTCATAATATATTCAATGGTAGATGCTTTCTTTTGTTAAAAAGAATTATTTTTCATTCTACAATACAGCAGAATTCTACATATTACATTTGCAAAGATCTTGATTCAGAAGTCACAGAATCAAAAATTTCCTATGCTACCAGTTGTCAAAGTTGCCTGATTATTTATCGAATCTGAGATCAGTAACCAACCTCTTATCTTTTTCTGACAAGACATGATGGAACAGTTAGTTAAATTAAAGTTTAATTTAACAGTCCCAGTTAAATTAAAGAAGTAGGATAACCCACCATCTGAAGCAAAAAGGGCCTCTCGGAGAACCAGCAAACCCAGTCTGCCAGGCCTCTAGCATTTTTTCCCCTAGAATTGGTCAGCTGTCTTATTGATCAATATTTTGGTTAAATACTCTGAAGAAATATGTATCTCTAGGAATAACATAATCTAATGTGACAGTCTGTCTCTCACACACGCACGCGTGCGCGCACACACACACACACATACATTTTTTTTAATTCTGTCTTTTTAAAAAATAAAATAAAATCATCTCTCCTGAAGTTACATGATAGTGAGAAGAATAAGACCCTTAAAAAAACCAAGGTGGTGGTTGCTTGGTGCGTTTGGGTCAGTCTGGCTAGTCCCTGCAGTTTTCTTGGCAAGGCTTTTCAGAAGTGGTTTGCCCTTGCCTTCTTCCCAGGGCTGAGAGAGAGTGACTGGCCCAAGGCCATCCAGCTGGCTTCCTGCCTCAAGCGGGACTAGAATTCACGGTCTCCCAGTTTCTAGTCTGATACCTTCACCACTACACCAAACTGGCTCTGGTTCCCATACCGGGAGTCAAACCCAGGTCACCTGGGTGAAAACCAGGAATCTTAACCCCTAGACCTTTTTATGGCCTTTTTACACCAATATCAAGTCCTGTCAGCATAATGACAGATTGTCCCGATTCTGACTATTGTACCTATTTTGAAACTGGCTAACCAAAGTGTGTGGTCCATATGGGTGGGTCAATATTTTGACGTTGCTAATTGGCTGATGCATATCTAATCCATTCTCCCTCCTAAGGTAGAGGCACTTCCCTCCAGCCAATCTTACCGGGGCTCAGAAATTCACCAATATCAATTAAGGCTGGTCTGGTCACATGAACTTGCCTCTCCACAAATATAGTGGTACCTCGGGTCACGAACTTAATTTGTTCCGTGACTCTGTTCGTGACCCGAATTGGTCGTGAACAGAAGCGTTCATGACCCGAGGTACCACTGTATGCAGAAAGCGCTGAATTTTTCCTACTATGGACCAGCAACAGGACCATGGCTGATAACCTAGGGAGGAAAGATCACATGTTTGGCAATACAGAGATCACGAGGATAAGGCTGTGTGAATCATGGCCTGGGAATAGAATCAGGCCAGCTTGGAGATGAGCTAAAATTGGGTTTGCCAAGCTGTTTAGTGATGCGGTAAATAAGTAATGAAGACAGGCTACAATTATCACTTTGAAAGAGAATGGAATAGAGTGAAATTGGCAGGCTGCTAAATCAAATGCCTCAAGTATGATGTCCTGTTGCCATCTAGCGGTTACTGGATGACATTCCATAGCTTCCAGTTGAGAGCATCAACAGCAAATATTTTCAGAAAAAGTATTTCATTTGGAACTTGAAACTGAAGGGGAGAGGTTTGTAAAAACTACTTCCCCAAGGCAGTTTCATGGCTGATCCTTGTTTTCCTTTAACTTCACCTCTGAACTGGGAATGCAAATACAGAAGAAATCTCTCTCTTGTGGAATACTGTGCCAAGGAAAGGAGGGGGAGAAATGGGACAATGTAGAATGCAGAGCTGAAGCTTGAGGAAAAGGTTGCCTCCATTTCGAGTGCAAGGAGGCCTCCCAGAATTCAACGGCTCCTGGTTGCCAACTTGTTGTGTTAAAGAGTTGATGAGGATACTTGGCACGGGATATTTGATTTTAATTGAGGATTTTTCCCCCCCGTGTCAGGTTTGCCAGCTCGTCTCTTACACACATACTGGTTCAGTGCAGAGACAGCTATAGAATTTCTGTGCAGCCGATCAAGTTCAGTGACCAATGCACACACATGAAAAATGCTCTTGGGTTTATGCCCGTGCAGCACTGTGGCCAAATGAAAAATATATGAGTGCACAGCTCCATTATTATTTCCAAGTGGGGCTGATACTATTTGGATTTTGAGATTTCCATCTCCTCACATAAACAAAGGGGCATATCTTTATCTTTAAAAGTATTGGCTAATTCTCTTCGTAAAAGTTTGAGAAATATTAAAGAAAAGCTCTGCCTGGGAGACTGATACTCTAGGCCAACCTTTCTCAACTGGGGTTCTGTGGGAGATCACAACTGAAAAAAAGAACAGAACATGGGTTCCGCACAATGGTAGCACTTCCAGTGGTGAGAATTTTTACATGCCATGACTCAGCTGCTGGCCTGCTGCTTTGCTGTTGTTGTAAACGTAAAACGTGGATCATGTAAGTTAGAAGTGAATTGTACCGTGAAGTTTTTGTATGTTTTGCAATTTTTATGGAGGGATTTCTTGAGACCTGAACATATGTCAAGGGTTCTTCCAGGGTAAATAGATTGAGAAAGCTTGCTCTAGGCCACTGTTTTTCAAACTTAGACACTGGCTGGGGAATTCTGGGAGGTGAAGT